GGGTTTCCTCATATGTCAATGATACAAATTATTCTCTCTCTCTCTCTACATACACACACATATATATAGAGAGAGAGGAAGCACATTCTATGACTTAGTTGTTGCATACTTGAAACGATCTTTTTGGTTGTAAAATATTTCCTGACCCAAAAGTAAAATAAAATAAAATAAAATTTATAAAAAGTATTACTAATGATTTTACGAAGAAAGAATATATTTGTTCAACTGACTTAAATTTGATTAATAAGAACTAAATACACGAAACTACTAGTATCATGTATCTTAAATCTGAATGTTTGCAAAGTCAACATATTTTTCAAAAAGAAATCGATGTTACTAATAATTTTATAAAAGGGTCAAGTTTGCTAATTATTTTTGAAAAAGGGTTCTTTTTAAAAAAATAATTTTCCTTTCTATTTTTTACTGGTGATTGGTACATTGTGAATGGGCTCTCGTAAAACTTTGGACCCTATATTTTGCGGTTGTGGGCCGTATTTGTGAGTGCGAGTGACTCGTAAAAGCTCTCAAAATGTCGTCTACGTGTCAATATTCTACCGGTCCCATTCTGCTATGCCCTCATCGATTTAGCCAGAACAGCGTTCATCGTTCGATTGAAGCTTCTTCCTCGATTCAAATCCAAAATCCCCTTCGAAGCCCCAAACACCAAATAACACAAAATTTTTACACCCCTACTTTAAAATCCTCCCCTTTTTCAAAAATCCAAAAACTAACAAATTTCTCAGCTTTCTTCCCGCTTCAATTCTCATCTCCTCGATCCCCCCCAACCAGTTTCTAGGGTTCCAGTGATGAGTTGAAGCTCAATTCACTCTCGATTCCAGAGTAATGTTGTAAATGGTATTCAAATCTCCGACCGAATCCATGCCGATTCCACTAAAATCCCGTCGAATCCAACAGAAACAGAGAAGATCGCCGATCATGTACCTCAACCGGCTGATCAGTGTGAAGCTCCGGCGGAGAGAACTCTGGCGAACCGGAGGCGCCGCCTTTGTAAAGAACACCGCCGAGGTCGGTAAGACGATGTACAACGATTACGCCCTTCGAGTTGCCTACATTCATGAGATCGTACCTCTCTGCTCGCCCCTCCGCCGCCGCGCCGCCGCGACGGAGAACCCGTAGATGGGCGGCGGCGATCGATGCAGGGCGATGATGGAGGTGATGAGGACGGAGAATGGTCGGTGGTCGGTATCCAAAGTTATTCTACAACACACTCATCCAATCTCATCCCAGGATCCCTCAAGCAGTGAAATTTTGCCGAAGGTTGGAATGAATTTTGAGTCGATTTCTATGGCCAAGGCTTTCTACATTGCTTACAGTGAGAGGATGGGGTTCAAGGCGAAGACTGGATCAGGGAGGAGATCGAAGGGAACACGAATGTTGATAATGCAGAGGTTCTTCTGTTCTAAAGGGAACTATCTTGTTAACAGTAATGTTGGTGATGATATGGGGGTTAAGAGGAAGAGAGGTTCATATAAGAAGAAGGTTTCAAACAAAGATGGCGAAAATGCAGAGGTGGTTCAGGTTGAGAGTTCGGTCAAGAGGACAAGTGATTTGGCGAGTGAGGATCAAGAGAAAGATCGATGTCTGAGGGAGAAGGAGAAGGTTGTTGATGATTCCGGGAAGAATGGGGG